TTCATTTTATCCTCCAATAACTTGAACTTCTTTTCCGCCTCCATCAGGAGACCAGTTTCTAGATCACGCATAGAGAATGCGTCTTCCTATTGTTCAAATTCCTAATGATGAGCATGACTTCCACCACCTCAATGAACAACACATACACTACCTTCGCCTAGAGGATTAGCACCACCAGCAGCACCTCCGCCAACACCAGCACCACCTCTTCCAGGAGGATTAGAACCATCAGCAGCGCCTCCGCCAGGAGGAATAACACCACCGTCTTCAGCTCTAGGTGGATCAATAAGGGGTTGAACCAATGTTTTCAACTATTTTTGGCCCTGAGCCATATTCTGCATCAGCTCTATAAATTGATTCATACGGGTCCTCAATTCAAGCAACTCAGCCTGAATTTATTCCACTGCTCATTTTTTATTTCCTCTTGTACCGTACCTATGAATACCAGAGTTTGTTATCCTGCTGAAGAAAATCAGGTAGAGATAAGAAAACCAGGAAAGAACACCTATTATGCAAATGATTATGAAAATGCAATGCAAATGCCATGTATGATTATTCCTAGGGCGATCTTCCCCTTGATTCAAGTTTTAACAGCAATAAACACGAGAGATGGATAGAACACTAGTAAAAACCACTCATACATTAACTGAGGAAGAGTCAATAAAGAGTTGATACAATAAGCTCATACAGAAGAGATATAATCAAATACAAATGCATTGATCCCAATCAACAGATCTTATGGTGACCAAATACAAAAGGAGAAAAAGAAACTAGGGCATATCATCAATATCCACTTGAGTCAATCCACCCCATCCATTATGCTCTTTGTTCCAGGTTTGAACCTCTTTGAACAGCTTCTTGGTGTCAGGATGCTTTGGCCTCTAGATCATCTCTTGAATCAGAATATCTCGCCTGTGCATGATCCCCTCCAAGTAATGACAACGCATTTCCCAAGAGTCTTTTCCAAAAGCATCTTTAATTCGGGGTTTCTTCGCCTCTGCTTGAACTTTAAGCTCCTCCATTGGTGACAATGTCTCCCTAAGTTGCTGATCACTTTTGAGCCTGTGAAATGATTCTTCTCTGACCTTCCCGTCTTTGTCTTCAAGCTACTACTTTAACTCATCAATTTAGACTCGGAGTTCATCTTCTTTCTTCTCGTGAGAAGTTACAGTGGCATTCCATTGGCTGTTGAACTTGGAAATCTCCAGATATGCTCTGTCTAGCTCCTTCTTCTTCTGTTGGAGTAGGTTGTTGGCACTCTTCAAGTCTTTTCCAATCCGTTCTCTACTCCTGACTTCTTCTTCCATCTCTTAATCTCTCTTGACTAGTAGGTTTATCTTCATCCAGGCTATATGTGTTGATTCACCTTTAGCATGATTAATTTGGTAGACTTCACACATCAACTCTTCGTTTTCTTTGCAAAGCTCTTCCTTCTCAGTCCACAACTTATTGTACCTCTCTAAATCTATAGTAGTAGGTTTCTCGATCATCAATGGGTACAAAGGAGCCTCCATAGAGAAAGGCAAAAACACCTATTCAAACCTCTTCTGGATCCACTCCAAGTAAGGAGGATAAGCTCTGCAGTCATCCTTGTGTAAGGAAGTCTTTCCCCTTCTATGAATCTTCCCCCAAGCATCCACAACTCTCTTGAGCAACTCTTGATCTTTTGTACCATGAAAGAACAAAAACTCTTCGACATCCATATTCTTTGGTGGCGCTCTCAAAGCATACCTGAATTGTCTAATAGAGAGAGAAGGATTATAGTTAATACCTCATTTTCTCCCTACTAGAGGTACATTCGGGAAATCTCTGCAACTGTAAATAATCTTCTTTCCAAGCAAACCTTGATTGAACCAGACAATATCCTTTGCAGTAAGAACCATCAATCTCTTGGACCATTCTGATATGTTGCTTCAAAGTTGTAGTTTGTACAAATCTTACATGTTCTCATGTAGCTTGTGTTAGCCTGGTTCTTGTTGTCTGGTGTTTCTGTTTTGATTCCGCTATGTGTGCCTCTGATGTGTGCTAAGGTTGTTTTAGCCCAAATTTGTCAAAGGGGGGGGATTGTAAGTCCTGTGGTTTTTGGATTGGCAACATTTTGGTAAAACATGTTGTCAGAAAGATGTTAAGCCAAATGTTTTGTCATAATAGTCAGACATCATGTTTAGCATAATATTGTGACATGTGTCAGAACATGTTACACCAGAAAGTTAGGATATAATTGTTTTGGTATTTTTAGTATGAGTTTTGAGTGTCTTTTAATTCAAACATTTGCATTATCCAAGGGAGGATATTGTGGGAACTTCTGTTTTGACAGATTGTATTGGTTTTCATAAAAAAGATCTTTGAACCTTTTTAGGAAACTTTGTATTTTGTTCCTATTATTGTGCATAAATTTATGCTGGTGATTGAAAGTTAATTCCTAGTGATTTGCGTTTTATTTTGAAGCTCAAGTCCACAAGGGCTGAAGGCTATTTAAAGAGAAGACATAATCTTGTAAATGGCGTGGATTTTTTTGAATAAATTAGGATTAGCCGTGTCTTGGAGTCTCTTTAGTGTTTAGCGTGTTTTTGTTTGTACAATTAGGTATCAGTCAGTTAACAATGAATAATCAGTATTGATCTCAGTGTTGTGACATCTGTCTCAACATTTGGTATCTGTGTGCCAGAATTTCAGTATTTATTGAGGTCTCTTAGGCTTGAGTTAGAGTTCCCATTAATGATTCACCCTAACTTCATAAACAAGGAATATGATCATGGGAGGACTTGGTCTCTTTGAATTATGGGAAGTGTAATTTTCCCTTACCCTTCACTAGTTAGTCATTGTGAGTCCACGTCATCACTCACGCTTACTGGGAGAGTGGATAAAGGGAACCCGCCTCGGGCAACCTCGCGGCCCCTTTCGGGCGGCTTCCCTTCCCCATTCTAACGGCCAGTGGCTAAGTAGGGGCACCTCGCCCCTTGTCCCCTCGTTGGCCTTCCTTGCTTTTACTTAAGCTACCCCTTATTGAGGCCTGATAAAAATGTAACACTACACATTCCTTAAGACACTATCATAGTCGATTATAGACTTGATTCATCTTTATCTAATCCATTAGACAGTTCAAAAACTTGTCCTAATCAGTTTGACAATTCCAATTCATCTGTTTAGGCTCGAAAAAAAATTTAGGTGATTTTGTTTGAAAAATAAAGAATTCAAAAATAATTCTAGTTTGAGTGCACTTTAGCCATACTACGTACGAGAATTCTTTTTTGTTTTTACAAAACATTGATTACTCAACTAGACACTATCAAGCTAGCTTTCATACTCCCTCTCTTTCACGCTATGAAGCTTCAAGTCCTTTTGTCGGATATACCAATCATATGAGCACTTTAATTGAATCTTCTTGCAGATTAGACTTTAGATATCTTCAAGTCAGATGTTATCATCAGAGGATATCACTGGTAATCATAAAGCCCTAATTATTTAACTTAATTTAAAGGAATAGTTTGATCAACCATTTTGTGCATCTTTGATCGTTTGAGTTAACTTCAGTTATTTCACCTCTTCAAACTTGTTATCATTAGATGTTATCATCATTAAAATTGAGATGTTATGAGGGTCACGCATATCTTATTTATCTATAAACTTTTACCACTGCCTGATTAAACATGTAAGTACATAGTTTCATATTTATTGTTATAGGTGATGAATTGATTAAGAGACAACTACTCAAATAAAATTTATCAACGAATTTAAGATGAAAGACTTTAGAATTTTTAGATAACTCGAGTATTTTTTATTTTAGAATTGAAGTATGGAATCAGTTTATAACTTATATATAATTGTCATATTTTTTTATAAAATGTATGTACATTATACACTAGAAAAGGCTATGGAATCGGTTTATAACTTATACAACCTTGCTGATAGATATATAATCAATATGAATACTCATGATTGTTGTTATCATTTCTGTGAATGAGTTGTTGAGATATCATGTGGTCCAGCTATTGCCACCATGTGGTTCACAGCTAATACTTGATGGAGGCATGAATTGTGTTGTATTCAGATTGTAAGTCTCATAAATGGACAAGTGTCACTCAACTGATTGTTCTGTAAATTTAAGAAAACTTAGAGGCTGTTCTTTCCACCTTAAGTGTTCTCCCACCATCATGAAAAGTTTCAAATGTTCCTAATACTTATTTTTCTTATGCACTTTTCAATACAAATTATTGAGACATTCTTATTTTGCAAAACTTTGGATGTGTTTGAAAATGAACTTCTGAACATATTTTTGAGTAAAATAGATGCGTTTCACTTTTATCACAATTGTTTTATGTATATTAAATACATCTGAAGATGTATTTTCAGACACATAAAAATATTTTCGAATTTTTAGATATTTGGGAGAACACACGAGGATGTATCCCCAAAACTTATATTCAAAACATGGAAAAGCAATCATTTTTTAAAAGTTATTTTGAATATTTATTTGCCATGTTGAGTCTATGATAACTCTTGATTTCTGCAAACTCCAAATCAGATACATGCATATATAATCCTATACAGAATAATCTGATGTTATTATACAAAATTTATATACAGTTCTGAGAACAAGATTAAACATTAAATCAAATTCCAATATCTACATTCATATTTACATCAACAAATTGCAAGCTACAAAATCACCACACATCAAACATGCATTCATCCACATTGCTCCCGATTCCGCCACATCGTCGCGATTCTCAAAGCAAATGAAGAAGAACACAAGTTACACATCATTGTCAAAGAAAAGCACCACCACCACAGTTGCTTTATTCTTGACTATAATGTTTGCTCCTCATAGGTTTCTTATTATCCAAGAAATTTACCAATCATATTAGACATCACATCACATCACATAAGAGTGCTCTTTTTTTAACACTATTTACAATATACAATTTTTTGTTGGCTAAAGATCATATCAGAGGATTTTGTCATGAAGATACAAGATCAAAATGATGCAGATTAGTTCGTCAAGTGTTTCGAAGAGAAGATAGCCAGTTTTCCACATATTTCTTGCTTTCTGCAGATAGAGAAAAGAAATGCATAAATTATTCAACCCACTTCAAACATTCAAACATTCATATTCTAATAATTGTGGTTAAATATGGTCTCAGAATAGATTTGTCACGGCTAAACCAGGCCTAACTAGGGCCTTTAGTCGTGTTGTCACGGTTGAACTGTGACTAGTTTATACAGAGTCTTCAAAAACTCAAGACGACTTTGATAAAAGAATGTTGATGATAGTAAATATATAAAAAAAAAAAAAAAAATATGCTTACCATCGGAATAACTATCCAAAAAAATTCCAACACCATTGAGCAAGTTGGTTTTAGTATCCTCTTGAATCCTACCATTATCCCTTCCATAACAAGGAACCAACACTGCAAAACTATTATCAGTTTCATCATCACTTGGAAAACCAGGTCCATGAGGTTCCAACCATCCAATTGACCAATCCGAATCATCTGATTCAGAACCCGAAACACACCCCCCATCAGATGGAACAAGAACAACATCATATTCCCTATCTACTTTTCTCTCCTCCCTACTATTCCATTTTCTCTTCACCTTTCTCGACGACGAACCAATGTTGGCCTGAACCAAAGGAAATCTCATTACCTCAGATTCCAACATGTTCAAATCCGTTGAAGAATTTTTCGAACCCCCCTTCGGAACTCTTGATTCTTGATGCTTTCCACTCCATAACCACCACGAGAGATTCGTGAAAGCCACCGACATTTATTTATGTTGAATTCTTCAAACTCTTACCTTTTAAGAAGAACAAAAGTTAGTAACTATTAATCAACACAAACACAAACTCAATGCAATCATAAATAACATATGAGCTGAAATGAAAAACAATGTTGAAGACAAAAATTTAGGAAATCAAAATTTTCCATAAAACACCTAAACCTAAGAAGCGCAGACACGAAAACATGACACGATCCTGACACGTCGACACCAATAAAATTAAATATAATCACAAGTGTCAGTATCAGTTTCAAACACACGTACACACCTTTTCTCAGAAGCGTCGGTGCAACGTAGACCTGATAAAAAAGGGGCTACTTTAATTTGAAACACCAAAAGCTAGTAGAGTTTTATGTTTTATAGCTTTTACATAAGAAAAGACCAAAAGAAAATCCAATGAAACACACATGCCCTGAAAATTGTGCAATATACATTGAATGTATATACACACAAAACCAAACCAAAACATTACTTCTAAGTACATTGAATCTAGACACCCATTTTCTACACAACCACAATTTAAGAAATAGTAAAACCTAATTTTTCACACTTTTTTCCTTCTATGTACAACACATCATGGACACACACAATTTGACACATAATCAATTCAAAAACATTCTTAAAGCAGAAAACAAATCAAAAGAAAAACCTTAAAATAGACAAAAAAACAAAACCTAATAATAGGAACACAAACAAATCATCACCGTGGAAACCATCAAGGTAACCAAATCACATCCTATGCTAACAATTTAACTCAATTTCTCAATAAAAAGCTTCAATTACTCATCAAAAAACATTTTTTACAAAACAAGCAAAAAAAATATTTTTTTTTTTAAGAAATCAGATAAAATCAAGATGAACTGAAAGATACCCAGAAGCTGAAACGACAAATCATGTTTTAAAAACACGAAATTCAGAAACTTATATTCAAGAAACAAAACAAAAACAAAAACAAAGAACATAGAACAACAATTGATGAATCAGTTTATGTGTACCTTAAAAAGAACAAAAATCTCGGATAGTTTGGATTTTCGAAAATTCTAGAAAGTATAGTTGTGATGGAAAAGAGAAGATGAAGAAGGAATAATAAAGAGAGTTGCAATTTGTATAGGTTTTCCAGGTACCGTTGGATTAATATGAATGACAAGTGGAGAAAGATGAGCCGTTGGATGTAATCTGAGGTGTTCCAATGATAAGGTACTGCACTTGGCATAAACAAAAGTTGAAAGGAACAATAATGAATTGCCACGTAGGATATGGAGAATAACACGACAAGGGAAGGGTAGTTATAAGGTGTAGTCACTTCCATGGAGAGAAATGATACTCCTTTTTAATCTAAGGAAGGAGAAAAATTGTAGGATGAGTTGTTTAATTTGGATCTCAAATTAAGAGATTGACAAAATGCATCAAGATATTATACTAAGTAGTAAGTATTAAGTTGTGTGTACAATTGTTAGACCATAACTTCTTAGATTTTAGAAGAAGGTGAATATAATATTTTACCACTTTTACTTAAATTAAGTTTTAAGGAAGGAGATGAATAATATTTTATTTTTTTTAATTTTGGTATGCGATTTTGTGATTGATTAATTTAAACGAACTAAATGCATTGTCTATTCGTGATTTTGTGGGAGATGAATAACAATTGTTAATTCTAAAAATAATAGATAATTGATATTTATAAATCTATTAAATTAGTTTAGATGATACCAATGCGAAAACATTCAATGGTAGGATTGCAAATTCAAACCCGCAACATCTCACTTATCTATGTTTAAGGGGTGAAAATCTGACCATTAGGTTATTAGACCAAAAATGTTATTTATCAAAAATGAGCTCACATAAGACTATTTCAGTATTTTGTTTCATGCATCTAAAATATAACGTTAAAATCTAAAATCTAAAAGGTTGTTAGGATAATTCGAGACTTGCAAGAAATTTGAAGAAAAAAAAAGTGAATTAACTTTAAATAGTGTAAGTCGAATTATGTATAAAATTAAAGAGTTATGAGACTTTGTGAGTTGGCTTAGCAGAGTACTCGACTCAAACATTGTATAAATCAACTTATATAGATAATAATCACCAGGAACGAAAAACTGAAATAATGAGTTGACTTATCTATTAATTTTTAAACTTGGGGAGTTTTATAAGTCGAAACAAAATCTTTTAACTCGAACAGTGATCCTAAAAATTCTCAAATTGATTTAGGGTTGCATGATCCAAATTAAAGATTTGGTAAATCGACTTAGAGATTCAAAAGTACTTATAATTCATTTTAATGCATTGTTATAAGTTTTTAACACGATTTTATAATGCATCTAAAGTTATGGAAGGTTTGAAATAAAAAATTCAAATATTTTTGTCAATCAAATCACTTTCTTGATCACTTTAACTAGAAAAATATACTCCTCTCGAGTTATAGGTAAAGAGATTATTGATGGTTAATTTTCTTTATAACTTACAGACATTCCAAATGACATAATTACAAAACTAGACAAGAATATTCTAGTATCCCTACTATCTTCATAGTCTGCATCCATAAAATCATCCATAGTGTTTTTTTTGTTGATTTGCCTTTGTGTAATTCAAACTGTCCTTCAATGAACTATTAAAATATCTCAGCATCCACTTCAAATCTTCTCATTGAACTTGGCCCAAATTTATCAGAAATCAACTTACTGTACTATTGACATATATTAGGTATGGTATACTACAAATCATTTCACATATGACACTTCCATACCACTTGCATATGGAGTAATACTCATCACCTTCTTCTCATATTTTATTAAGGACATTATAGAATTAAAAGCTCAGCATAATGAATCAAAAGAGTGTTGATAGTTTTAACATTAAGTATTCTAAACTGCCCCACCACTTACATCAAATAACTAAATTGAGATAAAAACAAGTTTGTATTGCTTGATATGCCTAAACTCCGAGTCTCGGAAACCTTCAAATGAGAGCATTCTATAGGTTTCTCACTTCAATCCTCCATAGGTGTCTTAAGCCTATTCAGGTGGATGGACATCTATTGATAAAATAAGTTGTAACAACAACATCTTTACCCAAACACTCTTAGGTTCCCAACAATATGCACTTCACTCACTCTAAAATAGTCTTATTCATGAATTCAACTAAGTCAATTTGTTTTGGTGTGTCAACAATAATTATACGCCTCTATGTGCCTTGTTTTCTACAAAACTCATTAAACTAATATTAAACAAACTCCATGCCATTTTCAGTTTTGAAAACTTTAGTTTTAGTTCCCCATTGATTCCCAACAATGGTATGTCATTCATTAAATTCTTAAAATGTGTCACTTATAAGTTATGTGAATGTATGTTATTGTATAAAAATCACCACTCATAGTTAGAAAATAGAAATTATCCTCACATGAGGCATCCTAAATATGAACAAAATCACTTTTATTCCGTCTCTCGAGACAAATCTTCTTGAAGTGACCACTTATATGACAAATGAAACAATTGTACTTCAACTTGTCGAATCATTAGGACTTGGATTTCATTGGTTTGTGTTAGGCTTTCTGATATTAATGTTTCACCTTTCATTGGTATTAATGTCTTCACTTTCCAAAATAAAAATTTATTGTCTATGGAAAACTTCTTGATATCTCATTTACAACCCATCGTGCTAAATTGTAAAACTTTTTTCCCATGATGGGGACCACTTGTTTCAATCTGAAGATTAAAAGATTCATACACACCAAGAAATATGATGTAGGAGAAAAAACAATGGCAACCACTATAAAAATCCCAAGAAATAATTAATCTAACAATTAAAAGTGAGAGTAAATCACAATAACAATACAAGATAATTGTAAAGAATCAACATGTAAATTTTTTATCTAATTTAATCATAAAATTGATCTACTTTAGAAAAAATCAATTCTCTAATCTACTACCAATCAAGAGTCTCAACAAGAGATTACAATTAAGCTGTAAGAAATTAACTCAACAAATTCTATAAGAATACTTCCTAATTTTTATCCATTTATGACCAATCTTTTCATGCTCTCGATACATGATTCACTCAAATTCACTCGATACATGATTCACTTAAATTCACTTGATACATGATTCACTCAAATTCAAAGTGGTTAAAAGTGTTTCTCAGCCTTTAAATTACAACTAAAGATCAACCTAACCCTTAGAGTGAGAACCCTAAAAATTTTCATTTTGTCTCTCTAAATTTTTATCTCTAGAAAACCTCACTCTCCTAATAAAATGTAGATAAATCAACTTAAATATGACACAAGTTTTGAGACACCCACTTGACCTATGCCAATGTTCAAGTCCATCCGCCTCATGAATCACCTTATTTGTCTCACGTATTAGGCATAATCCAATTTCTTTAAAAGCAATCACTCATCCACCTTGTGAATGATACCAAAAAATTTACTAATTTTTCTTAAAGCACACTCTATTGTATATGCCGTGAAATTTAAAGATTCAATAACATCAAAAAAATTGACGTGTGGGAAAAAACACAATGACAACCAAAATAAATGACCTTCAGCAAAAATAACTTTTCGTTTAATAAGACAACAACTTAACTTGGTACAAGAAGATAAAAGACAAGAAACAAAATAACTTATTTACCTATTTCAATCATGTGGTATTTTGGATCGAACTCTAGTCTCAACGAGGAAAAATTCATGGTTCGACAAAGTTTATCATGTAGTTGAAGTTTGCTCACATGTTGATCCTGTATGTTGTAGTTGAAGTATGTTCAAGCATGTAATAGTCAAAATGCTAGGATTGTTAGCATGTCAAATTAATTTTTAAGTTAGCTTGTAGCCTAAGTTTTCTTAGTAATCTATAAATAGACTAGTTCTCTCAGGTTGTTGAGAGATATTAATTGTTGTTATTCGCTTGTAATTTTTGAACCTTTATTGAGTAAGTGAATAGTAAAACAGTTTTAACTAATTTTAGTTCTCCATCTTCATTCTCGTCTCTCTCTCGTAA